TGCCGAGGTTCCTATGTGTTGAGTAGCTCTTCGACGTCTTGGACAGAATGGTGCGCAGTAAGGAGGGAGAGAGAGAGAGAGAGAGAGAGAGAGAGAGAGGGAGAGAGAGAGAGAGAGAGGGACCGACCGTCAGCAGCAGTGTGGCTGCGGTGGACGAAGACGAGGAGGAGGTGGGAGGTGAGGAAAAGAAAGGGGGATGGGGGGCGGGGGCGCCGCGCGCCGAGGCGACATCTCCAATGTCAGACATGTACTCCCCTCGATAAAGACGATTAATCAAGCCGCGCACGGCAGCCTTGTGCAGTTGGCGGCACTGGCCCACCACGCCCCGCCACATCCCACCACGCCTCGCCGTAAGGCGGGCGCGCGCCCTCGTGTGAAAACGAATGATATCGCCCTGCGTTTGTCATCATGGGAAGTCGATTTGGCTTTCTTTACATCCCCCCCCCCCCTCTCTCTCTCTCTCTCCCTCCCTCCTTTCTTCCTCGCTGTCCCATTGACGGGCGCCGTGTGACGTTTCCCTTGCGGTGTCGCCGCGGAGCGTTACTTCCTGTCTTTCATCATGTCATAGAAGGGGGCGCGATACGTATACGGTCGAAAAAGAAGAGAAAAATAGGTATATATGTGTGAAACGTGAGAGAGACTACGGTGGTCTCGCTGCGGTGGTGGTGCGGCGAGGGCGGGGACGCGCTGTGGCGCCGCCGCGCTTGGGTCGTGCGGCGACGGCGTGTTAAGGTGCGACTTGGTTCAACCGTTTAACGACGCTCCGGATGACTCACGACATGTTTGGCCGCGGCGCGAAAGAGAGAGACAGAAAGGTGTGGGGGTTGGAACAGACAGAGAGAAAGAGAGGGAGAGAGAGGTACGGTTGTCTCCTCTCGCCAAGACCCTGGGGCGAGCCCCGCCGCCGTCGCGGTGGTGGTGGACTTGGGTCGGCCTGCCCGGTGCCGGCCGAGCGGGGAGCGCCATCAAGTGGGACAAGGACGGGGGTGGCGCGACCCGGCCGGCCGGGGGTTCGCATCGAGTGCGAGCGAGACGGCGCGCGTTAACGACGCCCACAAAGTGCTACACTATACGTGTGCGCTGCGCGCCGTTCCATTGTTTAGTGGTGCGAGACCGTTTGCTCAAGAATGAGGACCCATTGCAGCGGGCCCGGGGATGGCCCCGCGCGCCGCCCCCCGTTTGGGGGTTGAGGAGGGCGTGGGGGGTGTCCGGTCTCGAATGCCTGCTTGCGGCGCACGCAGGAGGTTATGCGTTCTCATCTAACCGTCGATCTGGCGCCGTCGTATTGTGTAACTGCGCGCCGCAGGACTTGGACTTTAATAACACTAAAATTGAAAAATAAAAACGGACGCAAATTGTATATCTGATAGATTAGCGCCATAGTGGGGGATAAGTCGTGATGTATGAGGGGGTTGGGGCTGGAGTTGGGGGACGCCATTCACAGAGGCAAGGCCAGCGCGGCGACAGTCCCAGGGGCACTAATGAAGCAAAGGAGACGCTGGCGGCCGACGAAAAGAGGGACAAAAAAAAGAGAGATGGAAAAGTCGTATCGTCAGAGGCGAGCGGCAGCGCATCGCGTCGCGCACGCGCCGCAGACTCGGAAAGGAAGGAGAGCGACGCAGAATGAGAGAGACTTGTCAAATATTTGTGTTGATTAATTCTTTCGGCGCGACGGCGTCGCAGCATCGTTTATTTCAACTAGATGGGCAGGAAGGCCGCGGGGCCGGCGGTGTGTCGCCGCGTGGTGGCGCCGAGGTGGATCTGCGACGGGACGGTTTTTTTTTTTGTGCAAGGATGGATTCCTTTTATTCTTGCTTTTCTTTTTTTTTTCGCAGTGTATCTGGCCGGAGCGAAGGGCGGCAGGAGAAAAAGAGAGATTAGCTTCATTGTCAGCCCCACCGCAAGCCACCGCCGGCCGCGCGGAGTCCTTCGCCACCCCCACCACCCCTCCCCGTTCTCTCCCCTTCTCTCCCCTTTTCTCTATCTCTCCCTCTGGTTTCGTTTGAATGAAAGTTGGCTCTGGAGAGGAAGGGTTGTATTTACTGTCTCCTACATCGTCACCTTTCGCTGGGGGAATTCCAGAGAGGGGTCACCTCTCGCTCGCCGGAGTTTATTAAAAAGCTCGGAATGCTCTCTTTTTTTTCCACCCCCGCCCGCTGCAAAAGATATCGCGCCCCTCGCTCCGCCCGGGCCACTCCCCCTCGCGGCTCAGGTGAAGGGTGTGACGGGGGTGAATTAGGCTCGAAAGGAATGGAAGGAAATTGTTTGTCGCTCTGCTTGTTGTTATTGGCTTGTTTTACCCTTACTTTACTCCAATGTCTAAATTCGGACCTTGCAAGAAAGAATTAAATCTTTTTACTTTATTCGTCTGTTTTAGAATGTTTCTCATGTAAGTTTTTTCCGATATTTTTCCCCCCG